AAAAAATGGTTAAATTAAGAAGTGGGTATTATTACTGGGAATCTTTTGAAGAGAAACAGAGTTTTATGACCGAAAACTATTGATTTTCAGGAATTCTATACCATTTATACGAAATGTTGTTTTTCCCATATAAAATACATGGAAAACTTTAGGCGCTTTAAGCGACTCTAAATACCTTTTGATTTCAGAATAAAAAAAAAACAGGGGTAAATTTTTTCTGTATAGAACAATTCTCGGGGGCGAGAGCATAAAACTCTGACTTTACTTTTCCACGTGCATTTTTGGACCATCCTAATGTACATATTTTTTAGAAAATGTATTTTACATTCTCAGTTCTAATCGCCCTTGACCCCCCAAATAAAACAAACGATTTAAACAATTCGCTAAATACGTTTATAAATACATAAGTATGTGAGTTCTTTTTTTAAATTTTTTCGAATTACAAATCTCTTAAAAACAGCAAATATCAAATACAATCGATATTTTATTAAGTTTATTCATTTTTCGCGCTAAATGCGTATATATATATGAATGTGCGTCAGATATTTCCGTATCGATCGGTTATGTCGAAATTTTTTTAGTTATGTCATTTTATATATTCACTTAAAAGCAAATAGAAGTTCTGTATCAGACAATAACAAAAAGTATATCAAAATAAGAAAAAGCTTTATAATTAAAATGCATACATATTTTTAGGTATACTGTTTAATACTAATGCACAATAAAAGCAGCGAACTCAGAGCGTTTGGCCTTTAAACTCTAATAAAAAATAAAATAATTTAAATGCTATACAAAATGTACAAATGCGAGCGAGTGTATGGATAATATGTAAGTTTTTATAAAAACGTTCTATCGTTGTTTATTTAAGTATAATTTTTAAATGTGGCTTCAAGTATGTAGAAAGTAAAAATATACTTTTAACAGTTAACAAAATGCTTAGTAAAACTTGAATAAGTTTTTAATTTAAAACATTTTGCTACTATAGAATTTTTTGCTTTATTCAACCAATTAAATTGTAATTTTCATATTTCTCCAGTATATTTAAATTCAGATCTACCAAATGTTTTAGATTTATTTTATGGCAACGAACTGCACAAGTCTTCAACAGCCAATGGCCGAAATCAGCTCCCTTTACTTATTGAAGTTGTCGATTTGTTGCAACACCCAACTGCGCGACGCTGCGGCGCTCATGTGTGGCGGACAAATTACAACGCTGTTCGGCTTACCGCCAAGGCAGTGCGCCTCAGCCGCACTCAACGGCGATGGTGGCATCTCCTTGCGCGGCGATGTCTTGCTGATGTTCACGCGCGGTATACCAGTCGGCTTTGGTGGCACTTCGGGGTTGGTGCGATTACGTGCGGGTGGCGGTGGTGGAGGTGGACTGTTGGGTCGCTTGACGCCATCGCCCAATTCATAGTCTGTGCGTTTTTCATTGTCATCGCTGTAGATAGCCGAGTCTCGGAAATCATTCTCCAGGCAGGCTTCGACGTTATCCTCGTACACAAAGTCAGAGTTAGCGCCATCACTGCCGGGCGTTGTACCAGCGGCGCGCTTGTGATCGCACATGCTGTCATTGGATGAAGTGAGCGAAAAGACCGAGTCGCGTTGCAACGATGCGTCAGAAGTGGCGACGCTTACGGTGAAGAGCGTGCGCGGGTCTGCGTAGTCAACGTTCGCCATGCGCTCACCCACCGCTTCGCTACCCTGTCGATGCAATATGCTCTGCCGACACATTTCCGTTACATCGGAGACGCGTCGCTCGGGCGGCTTGTTTGATCGTCCAAAACTGAGCGCAATATTGTCGATGGATTTACGCGCGCGTGGCAGCAATGAATTATGCGAGGAGGATATATTTTCGTGAGTGCACTTGTTACCCAAGCCGAGTGGGGTAGCGCTATGAGCGCCGGTGCTGAAAAGGCGCTTCATTAAGTTCTTTGGTATGGGGCGCGCATAAATTGCTTCGCTGTTGGAGTTGCAAGTCGTATAAGAGATCATTGATATATTGCCTGCCGAAGAGCAATCAACATTAATAACAGTGCTCTGACTGTCGCGTTTCAGGGTGCACGTAGAAGAGGAGGAGGTGGAGGTGGAAGTGGACGAACTCGTGCTGTCACGTTGTTCTTGTGCCGCGTCCGGGATGTCGCGACGCAGTTGTGTCTCGCCACAGCTAGCACGCTCCGCGACCATCTCGCCGCCCACCTGCTGTAGTGCGCCCTCTGGTGAGTACACCAATGTAACATAGTCCGACTCGGGACGTGGCGCCGGCGGTGCTTTCTTTTCACGCGGCTTACAGTGCTGCGCTGACTTGGAGCGCGCCATCACTGGTGAGAACTTGTAAGGAACGTGTACGTTGCGCAGCAGTGACTCGTAAATTGGCTCCTCATCTTCTTCAACTGGCGTTGTAGGAGTCGCATCATTGGCCATGGCATGTCTGCTCTCAGGCTCGAGTGGTGGTGGTGAGCGCGATGGCGGACGTGGCGGCAACTCATTAATCAATGGATAGTCAGACGACTCAGGGCTACCTGCTGCGCTACCGCTGCCGCTTCCGCTTCCGCTACCGCTGCCACTACCGGCGCCTATACCATGTTCGGCCGCACGCTTGCGCTGCTGTTTTTTCTTCGCCATGCGCTCGAACTCTTTATTCTGTTTCAACAAATCCAATATAATGTCGGCATCTTTCTTCTTCAGCGTTGACAGCAGCTCCTCGCACTGCTTTTCCAACTGCATTTGTATGCTGTCCAGATTTTGCGTCACCGTTTGAACATCCTTCTGTTCGCTCACTTGTAACTTCTTATCCTCCACTTGCAGATTCTCCGTCGACTCGGTGATCTTGAGCTCTGTTTTGGGCGCATCATCGAACTCACTTAGATCCATGTAGAACTTGCACGTCTCCTTAGTTTTGCCGGTGCGCTGCTTCTTCAGCGTTGCTATGCGCTTCGGTATAGTTTTGTTGTTGTATTGCTTCACCTCAATCGACTTGCTGGATTTGGATTTTCGCGTGTCAAGATTTGTGTTGCTACCATGCAGTGACTCGTGTTCTTCATCCAATTCATCGCATTGGAAACTGATGCGCGGCACCGACTTGCTCCGCTCTTTTAATGCCTTCAAGCCGAATAGCGGTGACTTGGGTGAGGCGCAAGCGCTGCGACGTTGGTCGCGTAAGATGCACGAGGTTCGCTCCTCTTTGTCCGCAGCATCATTTTCAGGCTTCACTTCCTTCACGCTGCCAGCGTTTTCTGCCTTCATTGTGCTCACTGATCCGTTACCTTCGTCTGACTTGCCTTTGTTCTTGATAGCCGCCGCGAGTTTGTGCAGCGCTGGCAACATATTGTCATCAATGCTGTTGGTACGCGTCAGTGATTTGGTCGATTTGGCGCCGTTTGCCACATCGCTAGCTGTTGTTTTGGTCGGCGACTCGCTTGCCTGGTTTTCGGCAATCTCATTGAAACTGTCAAAGGACGTTGAATTGGAAACAGTCTTCCGCTTGAATTTCGAGCGATTGCGTATCTCGCTGCGTCGATACTGATTGCGCCGCTCCAAGTACACGGGTGTCGTCGAGGTCGAGTGCAGACTCCATTTCCAGGTATTCTTATCCGGAGTGCGGTCTGTAATGAAGAAATGGAAGAGATTTTTAATTTTTTATCTTCGTATAGTTTCTAAAATAAGAAAAGACAATAAAAATGTCATGGCAGTTCAAAATTGCACAGCAAACGCGTAACAAACAGCTTGTTTTAGAATAAAAAAATATTGCAATTTTTTTACTCAGTGCAGAGGATATAGAAAACATTACTTTTGTGTACATGAATTCAGCGACGATGCAGGTGACACATTTGTATGTACAGAAATAAATATATATTAAATTTAATTTAAGATGTACATTTGGCAGAGTAATGACCCCTTTGCAAAATCCAAGTAAGTCGGAAGGATGCTGCTGCAACTGAAAGATCTGGTGGAGTGGTCGACCAGCGACATAATCAGTACAACCCCTAGCAGTAGCAGCGGTGACTTTAAATTGTGAGAGGAATTCCCAGGACACTGCCATTCGACTAGAGCATTTTTTCAGTTTATAATCCTTTTTTAAAGCTACTTTATCTTTTATGAATAAAGCCATTAGCTTTTACTAGTTCAAAATTTTCTTGAGACAACGCAGTTCAGCAAAATCAGAAGCAGCTTCCAATAAATGCGATATGTGATTCAAAATTTATATGTAAATAAAAAATTATAGTATTTCATTATTTCTCTAAAAGTCCTCAAAAATTGTCTTCCATTAGGTCTTATGAAATCCCCGACCTTTTTGTTCCGGAAGTATTTTGAACAGAAAAACGGAGTGGATAAGGAGTTTTATAAAAAAGGATAGATTCTTGAGTAATACCCTTTGTCTAGCAGCAATTAACCCTCACTAGTTCTTAGGGTCAAAATATTCCACTTTTATGTTTTGAATCCTATTTTCCTAATTTCCTTGGGTCCGATCATTTCAGGTCCGATCAATCTAGTTTTTTTACCTTATTTTTGCAGCTAAAAAATCAAATTTCCTTTTTTTTGGCATCATCTGCGCCCATACCCGAAGGAAGAGAAGGGCGAGACGTCCAAGGTCCTCTTCCGAGCCCTGCTCCACGACGAAATGTCTGACAACGGACCGACGCTGATCGACTTCACAGGGGCCCGAAATATAGTAGTGTGCAGTACTAAGTTCAAGCATAAAAAGATCCACTAAGTTACGTGGCTGTCTCCGAATCGAAAAACGACAAATCAAATCGATCATGTTGTGACAGACGGAAGGCACGCTTCCAGCGTTTTAGACGTACGTCCACTCCGAGGCTCAAACATCGACTCTGACCACTGTCTTGTTGCAGCTAAGAGAACCCCTTTGTGAAGCAAAAATGTGCGCCTAAAAATACAAGGAAAACTTAACGTCGAAAAGCTGCAATCACAACAGACAGCAAATGCTTTCGATACCCGACTCAGAGAGCACACTCTCTCTCAGAGAGCACTCTTCAACCAACCGAAATATGCGAGCAGAGGAACCATATTTCCCGCGTATTAAGTACAGCCGCCGAAGAAACAGACGGATTTCAGACAGCCCAAAAGAACAACTGGTACAATGAGGAGTGTCAGGAAGCCGCAGAGAAAAAGATGCCGCATACACGGCCACGCCGCGTTTGGGCTCTAATCGAGTCATGTGGGACCGTTATAGGGAGATGAAGAGGAAAAGGAGGCATATTTGCTGAAATAAGGCCTATGTCCAGAACGTACCTAAATTATGGAAGGAACACTTTTCCACCCTACCGAGTGCTAGCAGCACTGAAAGCTGTGGGGAGTACGAACCCCTGCCCCCCGTCAATGATGACGAAGACGATGCCCCACCACCTGACCCTTATGAGGTACGCGAATAGCAATAGCGCGCCTGAAAAACCACAAAGCTGCTGTAGCTGACAGCCTGCCAGCTGAGCTATTCAAGTACGGCGGCGAGCAGTTGATAAGGTGCATGCATCAACTTCTGTACAGAATATGGTCAGATGAACACATGCCCGTCGACTGGAATTTAAGTGTGCTCTTCCCAGTCCACAAGAAAGGCGATATCGCCATACACGCCAACTACCGCGAGATCAGCCCTTTAAGCATAGATTATTATTGTGTGAAAGACTGAAGCCCACCTTCAACGAACTGATTGGACCTTATCAGCGCGCCTTTAGACCTGGCAAATCCACCATAGACCAGTATTCACAATACGCCAAATCTTGGAAAAGACCCGCGAGAGAAGGATCGACACTCATCACTTTCAAATGGAGTTGAGCATTACCACCAGCACTGCCAGAATTGGGAAAGACCTCTCCGAGCCGTTTGATACCAAGTGGGGTTTCAGACAGGGCGACTCTCTTTCAGTGATTTCCTTAATCTGATATTGTACGCTCAGGAAAAATTTTTTACAAGAGCGTGCAATTGCTGTCGTACGCCAATGATATCGACATGATCGGTAACAAGAACCGCGAAGTCTACAAAGTACGGCAAGTATTGGCATCTTTAAAAGATTCAAAAAAGCAGTTTAATTTCAGTAATGATGACAACAGTGTACAGCGAAGATGATTCAAAATATGTAGCTAAATGAAGGCACTCCCACTATACCCAATTTAGCTGCCCATGAAGTGCTTTGCGTATCCTTTGTGTAAACCTCATGCAATAAATTTTAAGGCAAAAACTATTTTGATATGTTAACTGTTAGTTAATTTAAACAGAACGTGTGCTTCAATGAAGTGAAAATGAGTGATTTTTTAGCAATGCAATGACAGTTAGTAAATTTACAAATTCAGCAAATGTTAATACGCAAGTCCAACACTACATAAATGTACACACTTGTACATACATACATATGTAGCGAACAAGCAAGCAACAACAATCAACAACACCAAAAACATCAAGCTAAGATCAATATATGTGTGTGTACTTACTACTTTTTTTTAAATTTAACCCGCGAACTGTTGATTTGCTCTTTATGCGAATACTTTTTATGTTGTATAAAAAAAAATTTTAACTACGACTTTCAACGGTTTTTAGCAGTTACATCTATGTAAATGTTAGTTAATATTGTG